AACTCCCAAATTTGATAATGCATTATATTTATTTTCTTGGACTGTTAGGATAGTTATAAGAAAGTGGTTTACACAAGTCCACGATTATTAACGCAATTTCTTCCCCTTTACCTATCGTGACATGTAAGGGACGAGACATTTTTGTAAAGATGACAATAGGAGAGAGCGCAAATCTGAATATGTACCTTTTCTCATGCCAACCGTTCTAAGTAAACAAGCTGCCTTGCCCAAAGTTCGAACCCATGCCATTGCCATTATCCCTGTTGATAACACACCTACTAGCAGCCTTGTCATAAAATAACGCGAGAGTTTTGTGGACCAATTCGTGACTTCAGTTGTGTTTGTGGGCGCCACATTGTCAAGGCCATTTTACTACGCTTAGTAAATAGTATAATATTGTATTTGTTATCTAATTTGTCATATGTAAGAACCAGTTTCCAGTCGTTGACATAAATGAATGAGAACAAGCCGAATTCTACTGTACTTGATGACATCTTAAACCCCCCCACCCCGATCTACATTTAATACAACGGTACTAAGAAATAGAAAAATATCGCTAGAAACAACGAAAAGAGTACTAAACTGTTACGTGATATCTGTCTCCTTGTATGGCAGTGAGTGCTGGATAATCTCCTCAAAGACGAAAAAGTGACTTGAAGCAACAGAAGTTCTACAGAAGGATACTGAGGATACCATGGATTGATTATGTAAGCAACGACGAAGTTTTAGAGAAACTTGAAACAAAAAGGAAACTTATATTTAACATCAGAAAAATACAGTTGAGGTTTATATAGCAGATAATGAGGAAAGAGGGCTTGGAAAATCTGATACTCACAGGACAGATTGAAGGCAAGAGAGACAGAGGAAAAAACGCATAACCTACTTAGTGAGAATAGGTGGCGGAACAGGGTTTAGGATAAATAAATAAAAATTATTAAGAGCCACAAAGGACAGGAAGTTGTGATGAATGATGATCGCCTACGTCCTGCAGGGACACGGTGAATAAAGACGATGAAGGCAGGGGCTAGCGATTCTAGCAATAACAGGATACGCAAATGGCACTGTGTTTATCGCAGACACGGAAAGAAAATTGCAGGAACTCTGAGACTCTGGTGTTAAAGTAGGAAAGGGGGGGAGAATAAATGAACAAATTATCAAATGGAAGAAGATAAAATCAATGGTCGTTAAGTATAGGGACAGCTTAAGATGTGAATTTTGAATTGAAAACGTTGTTTCAACTCAATTTCTTGTCAAAATTATAGTTAATAAATAAATTATAAGAAAAGAATCAGACAGAAACCTACAAAGGTTGATAAGCCATAAAAAATCCAATTTTCTTTGTGGTTGATTAAACGAGCAAGTCTACTATACCAAAGACTTTGGAAGAAATCGAAGGGCGGATACAAGTTATCTCTTCCATACCACAAGAGTTCCTGGTGGAATCATTTGACCCGATCCCTGGACGGCTCGAGAAGCTTATAGCGAAATTTGGTGTTTATAGCGAATTTTAAATAAAACTTGATACCAAACGCTTTTCTTTCATACCCATTGCTTGTAAAAATTATAAGTATTTTAAAATGGGGAGTTACTTTTCTTTGCAGTCAAATTTCCTTCTATTCTTGTATAACTTCGCTCCTTTTAGATATATTTTAACAATTCTTTTATGTACCAAGTCCATTCGAAACATTGGCAATCATGGCTCTCTACAATTTTCTATCCTTCGTAGCGCTTAATAAATTTTCTCTTTTTGTTATCTCTCCTAAACCTTCCGCCATCCATTTACGCAAGGTCGCTAGGGAGGTTATGCGTTGCTGGTCTTTGATCCTCTCGCATACAATTTGTCCTGTGAGTATCAAATTTTCGAAGCCCTCTTTTTTCATTATGTAACCTAGAAATTTCAACTGTTTCTTCTTTATGCTAAGTATAGGCGTTATTTTTGTTTCCATTGTCTCTAAAACTTCATCGTTGCTCACATGTTTGACCCATGTTATTCTTAGCATCCTTCTCTACTTTCTGTTACTTCTGGTCGCTTCTTCATCAGTGGGGAGATTGTCCAGCGTTCATGTAGGAAAACTCATATTACATAAGAGTCCAGTACTCATTTCTTTATTTTTACCATTTTTTATGTTTTTTAATACTTTGCTTAGCTTTTGGAAGACATCTTTCACTATCTCAATATCGAATTTTAAATATCCTCTCATGTCCATTTCTTGTAAAAATTACAGTTAATAAATGAATTTTAAGTATTTAAAATAAGGAGTTACTTTTCAGTCACTGTGTACTTTAATCGCTGTTGCTCTTGGATATCTTTAAGGGATGACGTTTTTGTTATTTGGTAAAGTTCTTTGAAAGGGGAAAGAAATTAACAAATCAAATGGAAGAAGATAAAATCTATGGTCGTTAAGAATAGGGACAGCCTAACACGTAAACTTCGAAATAAAAACGTTGTGTGAGTGCATATACAGGGGGATTGAAAATTAACTCCCTATTTTATGTATGTTTGGCCAGCCTGGGGTCCTGACTTAACACCCTGTGACCTTTTTCTTTAGGGTTGGTTAAAGAAGCAAGTCTACCAAACTAAGATTTTGGAAGAACTCGAAAGGGCGAATATAAGAAGTTATGTCTTTCATACCACAAGAGTTCCTGGTGGCTCAAGAAGCTGGTAGCGAAATCTGGTGCCCATATGGAATTTTAAATAAAACCTCATGCTAAACGCTTTCCTCTCATACCCATTTCTTGTAAAATTATAATTAATAAATAAATTATAAGTATTTTAAAATATTGTTTGAAATAGTGTGAAATGTCAACTTCTTAATGAGGTCTCTTCAGATACCAATTTTAATTGTTACTGTTTACTTAAAGTCCTCAAGTCATGTAGTTTTAGTTATCTGGTACAGTTCATTATTTGTAATTCTGTAGCAGCTTCAGTTCGCGAAGGTACCTCTCTAAGACCCACATGCTTCATTTGCTGGAAGCCATTTTCAATAATAGATTATTATATTGTTTAAAATTTGTTACAGTTTATACAGCAAACAAAATGAACAAAAATCTTAACTATATAAGTGGAGGATGAGATGAAATTTCATTTAAAAAGTTGTTTTTTTTCTATGATTGATCTAATTCTTTGGTCTACAAACGATTTCATACACACGCATACAATATATATCTTCTGTATGCCGTATTCCTTCAGGACATAGCGATCATGGCTCTCCACAACATCTGATGAATTTTTCTCCTTTTGCTAAGGCTCCACCACCTCCGGTTCCGCCATCCAAGTAAGTGGCTCGCTGCCTTCCCCTGTCTCTTTTGCCCTCAATAAGCTCTGTGAGGGTTAAGTTTTCCAACCCTTCTTTCCTCGTTATGTGTCGAAGGAATTTCAGCTTTTTTGCCTGATTTTGAGCATAAGCGTTCTTTCTGTTGCCATTTTCTTTAAAACTTCCCTGTGGCTTACTCACTCTGTCCATGGAATTTTCAGTATCCTTCTGTAGAATCACATTTCTGCTGCCTCTAGTTTTTTTCCTCATCCTTAGGGAAATTATCCAACATTTACTGCTATATAAGAGGATGCGTAACACATCGAATTATTGGGTAAAATGTATGACAAATTGGAAAAAGGTTACTTGTGACACGTTTCGTCCTTCAGGACTTCATCGGACTAAATTTCTTATGATGTCTGTACGACTATACATGCGCAAAAATCGAGGGGTGCTGGGAATTTTAGATTTTGTTTTAATCTCTAGCCAAATTCTTTTACAGTCTTTTTCTTTTTCTTTCCATCACTTTTGTAAATAGGTATTCCACACTGTGATATTAGAAGATCTGCCAGGAATGGGGATATGTTTTAAGAGATAAGGCGCAACCTTTATTGTAGATGACCTTGCGATTAAGGCACTCTCGAGACATTTACGTCGTAGTGAAGTATTTTTCTCCTTTGATCAGAGTAGCATTTTTTATGTCAAAATTGTGGTCGGTCTCGTTACAGTGGTCAACCAACGCATCTGTTGTAGTGTTTTGTAAAATGTCCCTTATGTGTTCATATAATAATCTTATTTAGATTCCTTGAGGTTTCCCCTATGTATTTTTTGTGACAACTATTACAGGTGACGGAGTAAATTCCTCCTTAAGGTTTCAGCTTATTGTTTTGTTTAGTTTCATACAATACTTATCGATGATCGACTCGGAGATTTGTGATTTCTCACTCATTATTTGGACATTCAGTTGTTGTTGTTGTTGTTGAGAACTCACGAGATTAGCAGTTATAAGTGTAGAAAAATGTTTAATTTGAAATTTAGCGTATATAAAATAATAAAATAGATATTCTCTAAGTAACACAATCATTCTTATTAGGGGGAGGCGACGAATGCGAAATTACGAGTTAAACCCACCCCCCGCCACCGATAAGTATTGTAAACTTATATTAGTTCTGTTTCAATAATTATTGCTCTAGATTACTACCCAGCACTTATTTGGCAAAATTCTGTTCGCCTTCATGTACACTGAATAATGTAATTTTACGTATAGCTGGCATTATTATTAGTGTTTTATTTTTGCCAACTGGTGTTTCTTGGTAAACCATGACTGTCAGTTTCATATACGTCGCAAAGTTCAAACATTAGCCATTTTAAGTTCTTTTGTCCGCACCGAAAAGAATCCCATACATAGGTAGCCATTGACGACAGGACAAAAATATCTGGCATAAGATGGTGTAGATATATCGATAGTGTAATAGAATTTTAAACATCCATCCTTTCTGGTTTATGTCATTGCAGAACTCATGGGCAGGCATCGACAGCAGATGCGTAATTATGATGCAGGTATGGTTATCCTTGTAATCGAGTGATCAACCCGTGTGTGTGTGTGTGTGTGTGTGTAACTAGTGTTTCTTCATAAACCACAACTGTCAGTTTGATAAACAGCACAATGTGCAGTCGTCGTGCCTTTTAATTTTTTTTTGTTCACACCAAAGAGAATTCTAAACTCAAGTATTCAATGTCATTGACGGCGGAACAAAGATACCTGGCGATAGATAGATAGATAGATAGATAGTTATGGACAGTCTGAGATAGATAGATAGATAGATATGGACAGATAGATAGATATGGACAGTCTGATATAGATAGATAGATAGATAGATATGGACAGTCTGAGATAGATAGATAGATAGATATGGACAGTCTGAGATAGATAGATAGATAGATATGGACAGTCTGAGATAGATAGATAGATAGATATGGACAGTCTGAGATAGATAGATAGATAGATATGGACAGTCTGAGATAGATAGATAGATAGATATGGACAGTCTGAGATAGATAGATAGATAGATAGATATGGACAGTCTGAGATAGATAGATAGATAGATAGATAGATATGGACAGTCTGAGATAGATAGATAGATAGATGTGGACAGTCTGTGAGAGATAGATAGATAGATAGATAGATGTGGACTGTCTGTGAGAGATAGATAGATAGATAGATAGATGTGGACTGTCTGTGAGAGATAGATAGATAGATAGATAGATGTGGACTGTCTGTGAGAGATTGGTACCTCGATTTCTTGAATGCAGTCTCATCATTTTACTGTTGAAATTGTTAGATGTAATCGTAAGTTCTATTCTCAAAGTTTCTTCTCTTGCATCTCTCCCATGTTGAAGTCGAGCCTAGTCAGTACATCAGTATGTGACTGCTTGAGAATACCATTTGTTGTAAGCTTGGATGTGCGCGTGGTCTAATGGAATTTAAAATCAGAGTCCCAATTCCAGTATGGTTTCTTATACTCCCTAAACGCGCAAATACGTACGATAAATTCAGGTGATAGTACCTACAATAATGTGGATATAAGTCTGACTGTAAATAACTCTTCACCCCAGAAATTTGCACAGAAAGCAGCTAATATTCCTTGACGCTGCCAAATATATATATATATATATATATATATATAGTTAAGTAACGAAAATCTTGTTAATCCGTATGGATAATTTCAAGGAGGATGAAATCCTGAGAGATCAATGTTAAGTCATAGCGAATAATTTAATTTAAAGAAAGACAGAAAAAATTTAAGGCTCCGTTTGTTATAATTTATTTCACCAGAGAATTTTTTTTTCTCTGGATCTTCAGACTTTTTTCGTTTCACCTTTGAAAGTGAAGTTTGAAGATCCAGAGAAAAATAAAATTCTCTGGTGAAATAAATTATAACAAACGGAACCTTAAAGTGGTCTATTTTTCTTTAAATTAAATTACATATATAAATATATATATTAGGAATTTTTCCATCAACATGATAACATGACTCTATCATTTGAAAAGATAGACGGATATATTCAATATTTTGGTTGTCTTAGACGAATGAAGAGTTACGAGAACAGAAAAGACTTCATTTGAAAAACTATACTATATTCTCATTATAATAACAACAAACTTGAGGATATTAGAGCGTAAGTAATAAGAGTTACAGATCATAAAAGACACGTATGTGTTTGGGAGAGAGGGTAGCAGATAGTGTTTGTATTATTTAAGAACACCATAACCTGTTTTGTAGTCAACTCGGTTTTGACAAGATAATAAATGCGAAAACATATACATTAGACTTGTGATTTAAACCTGGCTCAAAGTCAGAATGATAAAGCATTCGGCAATGTTTTACCATTGTACCCGCAAAAAAAACAAAAAAAAAAAAAAACAACAACAACCGTGTGTCAAACAGACGGTTATTTCCTTGACACCGTTATTATTTATTCGGTAAGGATTATTAAGTAACAGTACTATTCTGATTTACTTATAATGACCAACGTGCCCTCCGCCACGAGATTAATGCCTATTTACAGCCATACAAACACAGAGTGGCACACACGCGCGGAGTTGGAGATTATATATATATATATATATATATATATATATATATATATATATATATATATATATATAATTTGAAAAAAAACAGACCACATTAAGATTCCATGTAATAAGCTATTTCACCATAACCCCTTTAACAGGGTTCTGGATCATCAGACTTTACTTCCAAAAGCTGAAATGAAAAATGAAAAGAAATTCACACGTTTTTGTCGGACCTCATCAAGTATACGTAAAATTAACGAAGTGAGGAAGTAAGGTGGGAGAGAGGATATGAGCGTGTCATATGTATCATTTCAATTTCCTATTTTTAAGCCCAGTGTGTCGGCTAGATGTTGCTCAAATTTAACGCGTCTCGTCTCTAGATATAAGACCGACATTAAAGGAAGAAGCTACAACAACCCCAATAGGAAATTGAAATGATAGACAGAAAGAGAGATATAGAAAAAGAAATAGAGAAGCAGAAAGAGATAGATATAGAAAAAGAATCTGTCTATATTTCTGAGATGAAGTATTATGTACACTATTTACATAATTCGGACTATTGTCCTCATCTTTGTCGCCATATTTATTACAACGTTTCAGCCTTTCAGTATTTGTTTATATTTCTGAGATGAAGTATTATGTACACTATTTACATTATTCGGACTATTGTCCTCATCTTTGTCGCCATATTTATTACAACGTTTCGGCCGTTGTACGGTCCGGCCTTCTTCAGGCGCTTGGAATGTCGAACTGAAACCCTTATTTCGCTCACTGGAGTAGACTGCTCTAGTTCCACGTGGCATGTCTAATTTCTTTTTATCCCCGACATTATACAACAAACAATTACATATATATATATATATATATATATATATATATATATAAAACTGTTTATACAAAAAAAAATGTATATATTTTTTGAAACAGTTATATTTAAAAAACAAAAAAGTGCTCAATACGCAGTTCAAAAAATCGAAAGTGCAAAGCTATTTTATATTTAAGTTGGTGTTTATAATATATATATATATATATATATATAGAACGTCGGATTTAACGAACGTTTCTCCTGCAAAGGAAGACGCAGGTTCGAATACTACCGGGGCGCATATTTTTCTTTAATATGATTTCTTGAATATTCAGGCCGATAGATGAAAATAAATAAATACTCTGTTTAATAAACAGTGTCTACTCAAATATGAGTATCCAGCAAAAAAAAAAAAAAAAACCCTTTAAAGTGATAAAAAATGTTTTAATACATCAAAATTATTACTTCTTCAGAAATATTATATAAAGCATAAAATTAACGGAAAATGAAAAAATCCGTAACGAATTGCTGAAACCTCCTGATGAGTGGACCAAACAATTACAAAAAAGTTCGTCTACGAAACTCCGGATTTGTTTAGTTGCGGTGCTGAATATAATTCTATCAGATAAGTGATATATTTTATTTGTATTAATTTATATATAATATAATATATATATATATATATATATATATATATATATATATATATATATATATATATATATATATATAGGCTGAATTTTCAATCAACTGATCTTCTATATTTTCCTCTCGCTATAAATGAAAACTGTTATAACCGATTAAATTATATTTTTTATTTAATTTATTCAATTAATTATATTTTTTATTTACGCTTATTTTTAAATATGATTTTCTAAACTTTTGCCTACGTAACCAGCGGCAGCGGAATATGTTTCAAAAAACTATTCTAATTGTAAACATGTTATTTACCTTGAGCTCCTTGATAAGATCCAAAGAAGAATCTGCAATATTATTGGTCATGATCTGGTAGCTCAGGTCCAGTTACTTTCGCACCGCCGTTATGGTTGTCTATGTTTTTTCTATTAATACATTCATGGTAATTGTTTGGATGAGCTCTTCGCTATGGTACCTAGAGTTTTTTGTTAATTTAAACAGGTGTCGAGATCTCATCAATTAGCCGTAAGTTCTATGCTAAGTGTTTCTTCTCTCGCACTTCTCGCTTGTGGAACTCTTCTGGCTCTATACTTTCCAGTCAACTGTAATGTGCAAAAATTTAAATCACGATCTATTGTCCTCCTGATTACTCTTTCCTCTTCCCACTCATTATTAATGTTTCTGTTCCTAATTCTTCCATACTCTGTAACCACGTGTATTTTAGTGGCATTACTGCCTTGCTTGGGGGTGATTCTGATCAAATACAATAAAATGTTATGATATTCCTAAGAATGTCATTAGAAGACTGTACCACAGAAAGATGGTCCATTCGTCTATTCTTACAGAAAAAAAAATTACAGTTTTTCATACAAATATGTATTGTTCCTTTGAAGACATTTTATACAGTATACATAACATAGAAAATATAAAATCATATATTAATAATATATATCCAAATACTGTTTGTCCAAATAAAAAGTCAGGTCAAGGTAATTTTTTAAAATATTAAAGTTAAATTTTTTTTTTTAAATATCGTCGTGTGGCCGTTTATATATATAAAAAACATGTTCCAAAGAAGCGTTGTTACATATGCACATCAAAACACTGCCTTTATTTTACACACCAAATAATTATTTTCAACATAATCTCCTTCTTTGCCAATGTAAGTAACACAAAAGTTCTCAATACGTCAAAAATATTACAGTGAAAATTTAAAATAAAAATTTAGGTAAAAAAATGACGTTTTCAGCAGTAGATTTATGTAGCTCATATATATATATATATATATATATATATTAGATAGATAGAAAAAAGCATAGATAGATGGGATCCTGAAATTAATACAGAATAGCGACAGTCTGTTTCATGCTTGAACGCAATCTTCTGGACATGAGTTCAGGCATGAAACAGATTGTCACTATGCGGTGTTGACCTCAGCGTCCACTCTTATATTTACACACGCTCTGTCCCTGATATTGAGTGCCTTTTACCCTATGAATATAGCATGCCATAAAACTATATTCTATCATTCATATATATATATATATATATATATATATATATATATATATATATATATATATATATATATATACTCAATTTTGAACACAATTTTTATTGTCTAATCTTTTCAGGTATATGTTCGAATATTAGACATTAATTAACCGTTGATTTAATTACATTGGGTGGGGGAGATTACGGGAGAGATTACGGCGAAAAATAAATGCTATTCTGAACTGTCATATTTTTCATAAATTATCGTCGAGTTATAAAGTACCCACCCCAACCAAGTTATTGTATGTATTTCTAATAAAAAAAAAAAGATATTACAAGCTGAGTTTTACATGGTATATTTATCATATAAGTATACAAGAACATCTTTTGCCTGGTCTTGTCAAAATGTACTTGTTATCAAAATTGCAGCTTCTTACTGTAGTCTCATCCCTCCCTATGCTTTGTGAAGAAAGTATGGGAATTTTTTTAAAAAAATGTAAAAATCAGAAATTGTCCTTAAAATAAATACGGAAATGTATTTATAACAGTAGTTTTCTACTTATGGTCCTAGCTTTCTTCAGTTCCTCCCCTATTTTGAATTGTCATCTCAATTCTTTTCATCGTTGTATCTTTTGCAATGGTAATTACTGAAACAATTTCCAGAAACAAATTGCTTTATAAATTGCAATTAAATGAAAGAAAAGAAATCCTTATTTCAATGGATTCGAAAAAAAAAAAATGATTTAATTTCAACCCTAACTAAATGTCCTCCGTCTTAAATCTAAAATTTCCTCTCTTGTGAATTGAGTGCTTTCCATTTGAGAAATATTAATGTGGAGCTTGGAAATTTAAATAAATCTCTCAGTTAAGTCTGGGAAATCCAGAGCAAAGAAAAAATTTGTTACACTGGATCTCAGGGGAAAATTAAAGGAAAATGAAAATCTAGGAAAATACATGCAAGAAAAGATCCAAAAAAATTGTGACTGTTGTGCGCATAATTATTAGAACACTTGGAACAGTACCAAAGATCCTTTCAAAGAATTTAGAAAAATTGGGAAAGAAAGGAGAGGAAGAATCCAAGTCATCCAGATGATAACATTCCTAAAATCAGTTAGAATATTGACAGGAGTGCAGGAATATTGAATAGACTTGCTGTCACTTAACCTGCAGTGAAAATCAGAAGATTCTATTGGTGTGAACACTCGATGAATAATTATAATTTCATGGTGAAGATTATGTTCAAACCAAAAGCTGTTCCAGAAAATACAGTAGTTCTCAGTCTGAGATCATGTTCCTCCCCTTGTGATCCAGGGTTTCTTCAGTTCCTCCCCAATTTTGAATTATCATCTCATTATGATTTTCACCATTATAGTTTTACCGTGATAATTATTGAAACAATTTCTTTTAAACGAGGTTAGAAAATCAACTAGACGACAGCATTCCTAAAATCAGTTAGAATATATAGTGTTGAGGTGTTGAATGTTCTTACTGTCACTTGATCTTCAGTATAAAGCATCAAATTCTATGATGGGAAAATTTATAGGATGATGATGAATGTGTAAAAAGAGTCGAAAATTCAGTATAAAAAAGTAACTTTTTCCAGCAGTACACAAATTGTCCATTTCTTAAAATTTAACTCCGTGAACTTTTTTGAGTTCTGTTTTCAACATGGGACGCCGAAATACAAACGCAGGTATTTTAAGGCGAACATTGTTTTTTTTTTTTGTTTTTTGTTTTTTGTTTTTTGTTTTACAGCAATTTTACGGTTCATTAAAATCATTTTCTTCTCAGTGAATTTAGAAACGAAAACCCACTAAAATTATTCCATTCTTTTTTTTCCAACTGAATGAAATCTTGAAAATTTTTTTCTCTCGACATAATTAAATTAATAATAAAATTAGTTCTTAGAACATATAAAAGTAATATACTCGTATTTCTCTCTCTCTCTCTCTCTCTCTCTCTCTCTCATAAAGTAAAGATATGCTTCAATTTGGTCAAAATGACTAATAATATACAGTAAATATTATTTTCATTATCATTATTTTTGTTATTGTTTTTCATCTCACGAATTTCTTCAGCCTACTATATCTACGCATATATATATATATATATATATATATATATATATATATATATATATATATATATAATAGAAAAGGGATTCCTCAAAACGATTTTTTTACTCTTGTTTCTTAAAAAATAAAAGTATAATTTTATAAAAACAAAAAATTCTGGGAATACTGAAAAAGAGTTTCTATGTGGTATCCAATAAAATCTGATTAATAATCTACATCCAATGAGTAGATAGATAGATAGATAGATAGATAATTTTATTTTAATCTGATATATTTCATTCATGTAAAAAAAAAAATGTGAAGACCCCTAAAGAGTTTTTATATTAATTATACCGAAAAAACAAACCATTTCAAGTTTTCAGAAATTGCTTTGTAAAATATATACATTTGAAAAAGTAAAATGCGGAAGATACATTAAATAAATAAAACTTTCTAAACAAAACAAAATTTCTTATTTATCTTCGATATTTGGTTTACATTGTAGGCAGTTCGATTTCCACATCTGATTTTAATAATTAAAATATTATTCTAATAAGTATATTTTTTTTATAAATTTTTATAAGGCTATAAAAGAAAAAAATATTCATCAGAAATTTATTTTAATTATTGTTTATTTTTCCCTTCGGCCACCCCGACCTTAAGTGATCTGCGGATCGCAATTTTAGAAGGATCGCAATTTTAGAATATATATATATATATATATATATATATATATATATATATATATATATATATATACTACAGTTCAAAAATTTGAGGTAACTTCTGGTAACTTTTAAAATGGCATTGTTTTGTACTTTAAATAAGAGAAAATTATTATTCATACTTAAAGAAAAGTTTGACATGATTTTTTTTTATTGTGACAAAAAGAAAAAATGCATGTTATGATTAAATTTTGCTCTCGTCAAAATATCCTCCTTTAGCCTTGATTACTGCAGCAGAATTTTTTGCTATTCGTTGCAGAAGTTTCTCAAGGTATTAGTTTGATAATTGATTCCATTCTTTTTCAATGATTGTAAGAGCTCTTTTACATTTCTTTCCCACTCTTCTGTCAAGTTCATTCCATGCTAATTCTAGAGGTGGCGTCAAACTTTTGAGCTGTAATGTATATATGAATAGAAGTTATGTCTATATACAAAAAATGCTTTCTTATTAATTTTTTTTTCGCATGACTGATATTTCTTAAGAGGTTAAAATATTGATTTAGCACATTTTTTTTATCTCATTTGGTCACAGTTTTTAGCTAATTATTCTTTGAAAAAAAAAAAAAATTCAATACCGCACCTTAAAATTATTTTTTAAATTGCTGTTGAGTTTTGAGTTTAACAATTAGCTTTTGAAATAAGGTCTTTCAATCAATACAATATGTGTTTTATTAATATTTTATTAAAAAGATCTTTATGTATCTTTCTATCGATCGGAAAATTTGCAAAGAATATAGTTTCTTCAATCATTTCTCTCACTCTCTCTCTCTCATATATATATATTTATAACATTTTTATTTATTGATATATATATATATATATATATATATAAATTAAAATGTTCCACTTACCTGTTCCTACTAGAAATTTCCATTCGTCAGGGTCTTGATAGAAAATTGAATTTAACTTCGGAAAGCATATCTGTAAAACTCCGAATAGTCAGATAAATTGAATATTCAATTTTATTTATTACGATTAATGGTCTATTTCTTAATATCGAACACTTTCATTATCAAATACTACTTAGCTTAGAAACGTTATCTTCCAGAAATTACCAGGTCGATCGGTATCTTTCCCGAAACAATACTTTCATTTTCCGATGAAACTTAAATAATTGTGAAAAACGTTAAATTCATAAAGGTTTCCTATTTGTTGCTTAACTTATCACACATAAATACACACACATATATATATATATATATATATATATATATATATATATATATATATATATATATATATATATATACGGTCTGAAGATCGCTTGAAGTGTGAAAGTGACAGTCAGCATGCAGTGTTGATTCCTCTATCGACACCGTTTATATCTACAAAGTGCACTATCATTGATACTGGATATTTTCCTTCACTAAATGCAGCATATTTTAACAATACTTTAAATAAAGGTTTACTGAACATTTTATATTAGTTAACATTGACTAACTATAAGCGTGTTTAAATATGTATCGAATGATCTATCTATATCAATGTATAAGTAGAAACTAGTTTACTTTTGCCGTCAAATAATTGCGAAAATATTTACGGAATTTTACAGTTGCATTGGATTTATAAGATACCAAAAACTGTATTTTCTTCTTTCTAATCAATACTTTCTGAATATTAAACTAAACAAATAATATTAAAGTCACAAATGAATAGTAATTTTTCTTACGTCACAACAAGAATAACGTCTTCAGAAGCAGCCATTATGTGAAGATAGTTGAATTACCAATTTATAGGCAAAGGTCCGTCTAATGACATGATTATATATATATATATATATATATAGAGAGAGAGAGAGAGAGAGAGATAGATTTTAAGCAAAATCTTATAGATATAGATCTTATAAGCTTAAATAAATGTGAAATTTGTTTTTTCTTAGGTTTAACTGATATATATATATATATATATATATATATATATATATATATATATATAAATGTAAATTAGCAAGTTTGAAAAAAATTAAACAGACCAACTTTGTCGTTTTGTTTTGTTTTTTTTTTTTCATAAAACTTGTTTGGAGATATATATATATATATATATATATATATATATATGAGAGAGAAGGAACAGATGGAGTGAAAATCCACAGTTTGTAGAATTTATTTTTTTTTTAAAGTGCTCAGTACAAAGTAGAGCAAAATATTATTATAATATTTTTATTATAATAAATTACTATAAAAAAACATTTTACATCGTTACACAAAAACCGTCATATTTCAGTACCAAGATGGTACTACTTCAGGCGATGGTAGATAACTAATGATAAAAATTATGTATTCATTTTTATCATTAGTTATCTACCATCGCCTGAAAACTTACATAATAATTGCAATTTATTATAATAAAAATATTATATTATAATAAAAAATATAAGAATTATAATAATAAAATATATATATATATATATATATATATATATATATATATATATATATATATATATAGAGAGATACACGATTATATAAAATTTATCTATCTTAAATGTCTATATATAAATTAGTTTATATAAATGTTTATATATGTATCGGTTATATTAAATAAATATATATGGATTTGTGTTTTTCTTAATTGGATGAAGGTCGACATTTTCAACCATGAAGATGTAACGAATGAAAACATTCGCATTGCAAGATTTTTTTTTAAACTATTCATCTTTAAAGTACGTAAATATATTATAATATTTTTTTTTATCTCTTTATTTCTTGTATTTTATCTTTTATTTATTTTATTAGTTTTATTTATTTTTGTAAATTATGATTTCTAAGTTCGCAATAGGAAAGTATATTTGATTTTGATAGGAGTTTGAAATTAACATTTTTTAGAAATACCTTTTTATAGGTTTAAAAAATATAGTTTTAGTTTTTAGTCTATAACGATATTTTTTTTCAATATCCCAATCTAAATTAAGTATAAACTTCTTTCGTGTCTATTTTCTATATATATATATATATATATATTTTGCATGAAAGACGTGAATTACATAATATTATTTTTTTTTTTTTTTGTAAAAGGCCCAAACCCTAAAGTGAAATAATTTTTACATTGTATTTAGACTTTCAAATTCATAGTATTTTAGATCTAATTTTTTTTTTTTTCAACACAAATAACGGAATTTTTTTCATGAGGAAATCATCTGTATAGACATTTCTCAACTGACTGACGAAACAGGTTACTGGCTAAAAGTTGCCTTGCATAAGAGTAATGTACGATTATTTTCGGACCAGTTCATTTCTAAAAACCCAAACATCAGTAATTTTTTAACCCTTTTAGGACCGACCGAGTACTTTTCAGCACCCCTTTATATACATATAATAGCACCGTCCTATCAATAACTCTTACATTCATTCTTGACTTTTGATTAATTATTTGGTATAGATTTATATGATTAACTTTCATTATATCACACTTAAAGAATAAAATGATTTACGATGCGTTTTAGTGATAAAATCATTTACCGTAATTCCCCATGTATAATACGCCTTCGTCCATAATACGTACACCTAAAATTGTGCTGAAAGTGTTGGAAAATGCTTCTACACACGCATAATACGCACCCCTTGTTTTGTAATTAAACCCTATAAATTGTACCTCTCCAATTTCATTACGGCCAGCGTTTCCTACTCTTATTTTTAAAAATCGTTTTAAACAAAGAATAATAATATTCTAATTCAGTTTTATGGTAATTCTTATTTTATTTTATAGCAAGTCTTTAAGATTTTTTGTAGCTAAAGAAGGAAATTACTGGAAAGAAACTGTACATAATACGCACCCCTGATTTTGCTTATTTTTTTTTTTTTTTAGAAAAAAAATGCGTATTATACATGGGGAATTACGGTATATTACATTTCTAGGGTAAAATTATTTTCGTTTCTCGGTAATAAAACGTTAGCAAGACATTTATTTTATAGATTTTTAACCCTGTCCAGTCAGCAATAAATTTTCTAAATTTGCCTTATTTTTTTTTCATCTGATTTCCCCATACTTTAAATAAGTTTAAAAACAAAAATTGTGAAGTCCAATGCTTCATTAATTTTTTCCTTTTCTAAGAATTTATATTTATCACTAAATATTAGGTGGAGGGTGCTGAAAAGCTCTCAAACTGTCCCTAAATCTGGTTGGGGGGCAGGGATCCTTTCTGGGTTGCATCGAGTGCTGTAAAGCAGTTTTTTAATCATTTAAAATGAAAAAATGTTTCGACAGTATTTATATTTCCTCCCCTTGTAATCACGGTTTATATAACAGGGACGTAGCAACGGTGCGAGGTGAGGGCTTGGATCTCACCCCCCACCCCCCCAAAAAAAAACTTATCAAAGCAAGGAAGAATATAACTTTCATAAAACCCCGATGAAAGAATTCGTCCTCAGAGTTTCTCTATTATTTCAAAGATGATTTCTGCCAATCTAGAAATACTGGAAATTTTAAATGTTCTTGCTCCTAACCATGTCGGCGGCCTTTGATAACTTAATGCTAAATTCTAAATTTTTCCCTCCCTCAATCCGTTCCAAACATTTATCTCTGCTACGGTCTTGTATCGACAGTAATTTAACGAAAAAAAAAAAAATAGATTACAAAAAGG